CGGAGACACTAATACCTCCATGCTTTGGAGCAGGGACATGAAATTTGCGAAGGGGGTCAGGAATAGGCATTTTGCAGTCCTATGAACAGAGCCCAAATTTGGGCTCAAGTTATGAGTCTTTGAAAAGTTGTTTGAACATGCTCAGTAGAGAATTAAGAGTTTGGAGAATTCAGTAGCCAGGTATTCTGTCCTTACAGAGCATGCTCCAGCCCTGCACAGCTCCGATGTATGAACTGACTGCATAAGCATGATACCCATAGAGCAATGGAGCATATTCTGTGTAAGGCTGAAAGTGAGAGGAGGGACACTGGGCTTCCCAGGGTCGCAATGTATCCCCTTACTGGCACCCAGCCAGAGAAGAAGAAAGCAGCCTGATTTAGAATGCAGAAGAAGTGAGGGGATTGAACAGGAGCAGAGGAATTGGGGGGGGGGGGGGAGAGAATATAGGTAGAATGTTCTAAACCACTAGAGCACACTCCCCATCCAGATCCTGGAACTGAACCCAAGAGTCTTTAATCTCTACACTCTCCCCTCTGATCAGCAAATAGCTGTGAAACCCATCTAATGGCCCAAAGCCTGCAGATGACCCAAGTTGGGGGTCACCATGGTTCCACATGGTGGAATTTGTTTTTTGGGTTGTTGTTTTTCCTCAGTTTGCTTATTTAAAAGCTAATAAATTGGAATCTTAATATTCTCAAATCTTTCTGGATATAAAGATCAATCACATGCAAAAGCAAGGGACTGGGAGCAAAGAGATTTGGAACAGATTGACTGGACAAGGAGACTGGGATAGGGAGTCTGGAACTTGCTGGGCAATGGGAGTGGGTTGAAAAGCCTGAGGAGTAGACTAACTAGATGAGGAGAATGGGACTGGTATGAGGAGCCAGGTGTAGGCAAGAAACAGGGACAGGTTGGAGGGAACGGGGGAAACAAAAAGGGGTCAAACTCAGGGGAATGAACAGAAGAATCTGTGTCCTCTAGAGCATGCTCTCCTCCACACAGTCTGAAATGGAAACACACACACACACACACACACACACACACACACACACACACACCCCGCCCCAATCATTCCTTCACTGTCAGCAAGTATCTGAAACCCACTGGCAAAATACCTACCCCCCTGTAGTGCTAATTCATAGACGAGAATTTACTACAGCTACCAGTTACTCCTTTAACTCAAGTGTACAGGTCTGCGCAATGAGCTAAAGGTTTCAACACTGCTGATGATCCCCATGGGTGTCAATATTGTACCACATAATGGAATTTTTTTTTTCAGTTTGCTCAATGTGATAATGGAATTAAAGATTATCATAATGCACATACATAAAGGGGCAAATTAAGGTTGTACAGGCAACCTTAATTCTGGCATTTAGTAACTCGAGTGCTGACTTCGCAAACAGCATTCTGCTAATGTAGGGGTTTGTGTAATACATGCAAGCTCAGCTACACTAAACATTCAGGTGATTGCCTTTGACTGAAGATATCTGCATGAAGGCTGGAGTGTCTATTCCTTGCAACTTTCTCTGCACTTTACTTTTTAGAAGTAAGGACAGTCTCATCTGTTCTTCATCTGAGGGTTTAACTTTAAAAGAACTGGAGTTCTTTAAAGTACCAGTTCAACTGAAAGGAATAACTTAAGACATTTATATAATCGAATGACAGTCTGCTCAACTGAAAGCTTACTATTTCTCTTAATTTAAAGTTATACCACCACAAATGAGACACCGACCATAATCTCACAACTGAGCTCATTTGCTTATGTTTCCAGAAAAAGAATCCTCCTATTAAGAGGGGATAAGCAGATACTCCTGGACAAATACAGAGAAAAGTGAACTAGTACTCATTTATGTAAAGAGATCTAGCAAAACTAAGCTACCCATAAAGTGCTAGGTCATCCTCAAAACTTGAAGAAAAAAACAGATGTCATTCACTACAGTTTGCTCAAGCATGCATTTAAGTACAGACCAATATTATTTCAAGTCTCACTAGTAAGTTATTTTCTGGGAATTCACTTAGTTACTTTTTTTTATTATTAAATCAGACTGGTATTCAACAGCAGAACATTTGCCAGCTAGCAAGTATTTCTGCTAACAGAAGCCTACTGAAAACTCAGGAAGGAAGGAAGGAAGGATTTTTTCCTCAAAGCCAGAAACTACTTACAGAATCATGTACGTAGCTTGCTTGTGGAAAAGAGTAGTACTTCCAAATATAATCAGAAGTTAATTTGTGAGAAAAATACTATCCCAAAATCCACAATTAACTCGTTAGAAGTGTTTTAAACTAATATTTACACTGCAAAAAGCAAGCTATAAAAACAATTCTTGAGGGACAAAAAATGCTGTCTCCTAAAATAGGATTTGACAAACTAGTATGGTTAATCTAGGCAAACACACTGGAATCTTAAGTACTAGAACGCATAAAGCTAGTGTTGTTGTAACAATTGAAAGCACTGTTAATATCGTACCTGTGCTCTTCTCAGTCCTCCATCCTGCTTTGTGGCATTGGATGGCTAGTTTAGACATCACAAATTAAATGATTTTTTCAGTATAAAAGCTCAATGAACAAACCACTGAGGACTTTTTTACAGTAGAGTTTAGCAACTGTCAGACAACACGTTTGTACATGCTAGTCTGAACTAGTGTTTGGAGAGTATAACTCTCGGGACAGATAGTCTGGACACTCTACATATTTGGCTTATCCTAGGAACAAACTCGATACAGAAGTGTATCAGCTTAATATAGTGGAGACATGCCTGTAGGGTCTTGTCTTCACTAGGAAGAGAGGTAACATGGTAAGAAAACACCTATCACACAGCAACTAAAACGGTAAAATCCTAGTGAAGACAAAGCAGTTTGTAGTTTCAGTGTGTTGGCAGAAACCATAGGCTCCACTGGTACAGCAGAATAATTGACCCAGAGAACCTTATAATAAGGTGGCCCCATCTGGGTGCCCCCTGCAGCATAACAGGTGTGCCCTACTTCAGTTTTCCCTTGGTCTAGCCAAGAGCACAATCTCTCTCACTATTCAAGTCAAAGAACCACCTATGGGCATGACTTATTCATGCCGGTGCGCAGTAATCCTGAGAACCCTAATGATCAAACCCAGTTTTCCATTTCTGCAGTAAACATTAAGACAGCAATTTTCCATTTCCCTCTCCAAACGGATCACTTCCAGAACACCCACCCATGAGTCCACCAGCATTTGGTTCTCAGTTCCTTTCTGTGCTTGTTCCAGGACTCCGTTCTCCAGGCCATCCATCTGAGTAACCAGTCTCACCTTCTATCCAAACAGTCCAGCTTGTCAGCACAGGCTCTCTGTTTTTTCCAAGCCTTCAGCAGTTGCTCAGGATGATCAGTAAGCTAACCTGCCCTCCCGCCCCTGGATCTCCTAGTAATGCCTCACTATTCACAATGAGGTCCTGCAGACCTTCCTACTCTCTGCAGCTTCCCTGTCTATCCTAGTCAGCTCGCAAGTCACCCCCTTCCTTGCTCCTCACATGCTGGCTCACCCAGCCTCCTCCCTTGTAGGATTCATATGCCTTCTTCTAAGCCCACTTAGGAGACAACTAATCAATCACAGGTGCACTAGACCAAGCTCCCTCTTACAGGAGCGTTACCCTGTGACACCCCAACTAATCCAACAGCTCCTCCAACCCAAAATGTTAAGCATTTTGCCTCAGATAGGTAAAGTAACAAATAAAACAATCCCCAAAACTAGCACAGGTTTAAACATTTAAGGCAGTGGTCCCCAACGCAGTGCCCGTGGGCGCCATGGCACCTGCCGGGTCATTTATGTGCGCCCGCCTAGTGCCCAGCAGGGGAGAGAAGCTGCGGGGCCGCGCCTGCTGGGGACAGAGTACTCTGGGGCTGCGGGCGCCAGTGTTCTCTGTCCTCGTGGCTTCTCTTGATTCATATATTATGTAATATTAAATATGATTTTTTGTATTTAATGTACAAATACAAAATAAGCCTTGAAAAATTGTTGGTGCCCATCACACACTTCTGAAAACATGAATGTGCTACTGGCCACAAAAAGGTTGTGGACCACTGATTTAAGGGGAACAAGAAATCTTTGGAAACAGTGGCTTCATAGAAAAAAAGTTTCAGTTCAACATGTGCATGTTACAATATTATGTTCATGCCCATTTACTTGGGTAATGGGAAATTATGAAAGCTTCTACAATTATCTTGCCAGTCAAAAGTTGCTTTGTTAGGTTAAGAATTTTTCTATATGTGAAAGCGACATAGGTTGAACTAAAGGCGGATTTCAAAACCAATTTAGTTGAACTAGTGAAGGTCATGTGGCCTATTCTCAGTTTAAGACAGGATCGTTTCAATTTGGCTTAAGTCAATTAGGAACAGGTTTAAGCTGAACCCAAATAAGCATCTAAAGATGGGTTTAGACCAGTTTAAATTTAAAAGTTGTTAAAACTAATGCAGCTTGTATTTAGTCAAGTGCTAAAAGAAGGATGTATGAGAGAACATTATGCCTACTATCATCTTTTACTCAGTGAGATGCTATCAACAAAGACTAGGCACTTGCATGAAGCCTGGTGGTCACCTCACACAATTACTCTACATGGGGCTGTCGCCTTGGGAATATGATAGGCCTCCTAAGCTCAGGAAGTGTTAGAATGCTCTGGAATAGAACATGAAAAGGACATTAAGAAAATGGGAGGGGGAGAGACTGACAGCTTGGGGTGGGTATGGCCAAACCCTTTTCACTGACGCCTGGATAGACTGCTTTTAGAAGATCTCATATTAAGATTTAATAAAGTTGAAGTCACTTGGGCAAAAGTAAAATACTCACTCCTCACCGGCCCTCTTCCTCATATTTTACAAAGCATCATGTAAATTTCCATTGCTCTATTAAATTCCCCCTTCAAAAGGGCATTAAGAATATCTGCTTGTTCACTTACATAACTTTTAAAGTTACTAGTAATGCAATTACAAAGACATACATGCACTGGAATTAGTGTTTCATAGACAGAACTTTACCTGCTTTTTTGATGTTCAGAAATAGTGTAGTGGTAGCTTTCTAAACTGGTCTTCTCAAAATACTTTTCATGAGTGCTGAAACAAACCAAAGAGACAACCTTTAGTATTTCCAGAATATATTTTTAAAATGCGGCTCTTAGGAATTTATTTCTAAGCAATACAAAAGTGAACTTTACTAAAAAAGTATCAGGGGGTAGCCGTGTTAGTCTGTATCTACAAAAACAACAAGGCGTCTGGTGGCACCTTAAAGACTAACAGATTTATTTGGGCATAAGCTTCCGTGGGTAAAAACCTCACTTCTTCGGATGCATCCGAAGAAGTGAGGTTTTTACCCA